AAGATACTGTTCTTCGCTGACATCATAAACCACTTTGACACTTACTCCCTCAATTTGTTTGACTTCTCATTACATTTATATCTCTCTTTCTCAATTGTTTTTTCCTTCTTCTTCACAACCTCCCTTGTTTTCTAGATGAGATCCATTTGAAGCTACAGCATTTTTGTGTTAAGCTTAAGTCTGATGAGATGATTTATATTTTAAGGATTCGACTTTTCTATTGACCGAAGGCGAGGTTTTCTTCCCTACATCCTATGCTTGAATACAGAAGACAGACATGCACTAGTCATAGTAAATGTAATCGGATAGTAGTTGGATATAATAAAATGATGAGTAGTATCTTGAAAAGTCTGACAACTTTGCTGGAAAAAGATTAACATTTTGATTTAAGTTAAATTTATTTTAAACTAAAAACAAAAACAGAAAGCTGTTATATTATCATCACAAGGAAAACCTAGCTAGGGGTCACAAACTCACATTAGTCATTTTTGTTTTTAAAAGTTTAATGTATATCAATCCTTGACATGACATACTTATAAAAGTTGGCTAATATAACTAAACTATTTTTTATGGCATGTTAACAAATTGAAGGGTAGATATTTTTGCAAATTTTCTTACAAAATGAGTGCATTGTTTTTATCAAGTACAACTAATTATCGAAGCTATATGCAATATCCGCATGTGGGGATATATCGGCTATGCCCATATATAAGTATAATTAAGGCTATATAAGCTGATGTCGAGTTCATAGGATAGACAACCAGATGATCCCACATTTCTACACATGCATGAGACAGGTTATATATTGTTGTCAAACTGTTTCAATACATTTTTGAGTCAACATTATACAGTCTTTTCTTTTCCTTGAATAACCATGAGCTACAAGTAATATACTATTCTATCGCATATTATATGATATTATACGATAGAAAAGGTTGTAAAACCTTAAAAGTCAACAGCCGGCCATCTGCCTATATGGACCATTAAATTTTTTGCTTTATATATCATATTATTGATGACAGCGGATATACAACGTAGGATACATTTTATATATAAAAGATGGTATTGGTTAGATACTCAGATCAGTATCACAGAAAATGCTTACACAATTGCAATGGTGTTTTGGTAATCGGGGTTTCAAGCGTATTGCTCCTTATCTATGTTTCTAAATAATTGATGATCCTGAAGAAAAAAATTGTTTAAATTTTTGATGTTTTCAAATTTATATGTGTAGTTATTGATATTTTTTACTTAATTTTACTTTGATGATATTATTATTTAAATATAAACTTAAGTAATAATTAATAAAAACAAGATTGGAAGAGACCTTTGTAAGAAAAAAAAATATATGTGTGAAAAATATAAAACATCTACAATATCTTTTAGAAACAGACAGAGTAATTAATAACGAAAATAGGAATATAGAAAGGATTAGCTCTGGTTACTGAGAGAGATTATGAGCCTAATTCTAAAATTTCCACAGTTAATTAAAAAATAATAATAACGAAAACTAGTTAAAAGTTAAATGATTAACTACAGATTACACGTTGAAAACTGTCTGAAATTAGTAATTGACAGAATAGTTGACTTATGATTCTACATAATGAGTTTTGAGATTCGATTTATCTCGTAATATGCAATAAAAAAAACCATCTTAAAATGCTGGCTTTGCAATACTATGTATTTTTCATGGTAAAATATAAATACAATGCTATAAAAAGAGCATTTATTAAGTTTTTAGTTAGTTTATCGCATTGCAACCCAAGACAGAAATAAAAATCGATTGGTTTGTCGTCATTATAATTCAACGAAGATTAGTATGTATAACCAACTTTCACATAACACTATCTCGGGAGTGTGGTTTATATAGTATACGAGTTTTAATGTTTTATGACATATAAAAAGTGATCCTTTTTTTTAACATGATAAATGATAACTCACATTATCATTCAAGACCCTTGTTAATTTACTCTCTAATTTGTAAACTTGACTAAGAACAAAACCAGCATAACATGCATGTTTAAAAACCACAAATGAAGAGTATTCAAGAAATATATAATCTGACCAAGGGAGTAAAAAAGAGTAACGACCACGAGGAGTCATAGTGATCGATCAATTAAGTATCCCCTTTAGGTTGGAAAAAAAAATGGAACATTTGTGGAGATTGCTAGAGAAAATGACACAAAATCCTATCCCAAGCTAGGTTCTTAGATCCTTACATTTTTGTATTTTCTTCTTGTTTTTCACTTTTACAAATAGTAAATTTGTTTTAAAATCTTACTCTCTTTTACTTCTTTTTCAGTTGGTTTCAATTGTTCTTGTATATTGTATTTGATCTCCGTTAAGTTTAGTGGTAATAATTATTTATAAGTTTGCACGAGACTATTGTGGTATTAAAGTATATAATGATACTTTAATTAGATACGAAAACAAATGTGAAAAAAGTAGATCTTTTACTGTTTTACAATGTGACGACTGACAAGAAACATGGACATTAGGTTGGATAGCTAATTAGCTGGATACTATCACGGGCATTGTTTGATTCTTTCTGGCGAATAGTACAGTTTCAATTACTATATTTTATAATACTAATTGACTCAATTTATTCTTATTAGCCCACTAACCACGAGTCCCATTTGCAAATTGACTTTTTCTTACGATTAATATTTTTTTGGTATTATCTTCATAGAGAAGAAGTTCATTACCCTCCTAACGTACAGTAAAAACGTATTACTAACATTTATTTTTGTGTGCAGATAAACATTAATTTCAAATAATATTGGAAAGTCAGGGCTTTGTAGTATACTAATTTTCTTCTAGAAGAAGTGATTACATTACAATCTGACAGAAAATGATTCGACATTTCCATCACAAACTTTTTGGTATGAGTAAATTAGAAATTAAAATTTTGCACGGATTTGGTGGTTGGAATTTAATTTAAAATTTATCATGTCATAACTCAACTTATCATGAATCCACTGGTTTCTGCTGCTTCGGTTATTGCTGCTGGGTTGGCTGTTGGTACTCATAAGATAAATAGTCAACGAGAACATAAGTCTATATTCCTCACAAGCTCGTGTAGTCTTGTCCTTTTCTTCTTTCGTCACGGTTCGTTTAAATCCAGACAAGGAGCTTGGATCGGTCCAAAACCTTTAAAAATGGATAAACTACTGTTACATGCAATTACTAAAAACTACTGTTCAAAAAAACTTGCTTATCTTTCTCAAGAAGAAAAAAAAATGCACATGTATATATTTGGTACAGGTGGAATAGTTTTAATGTCACGTAAAAGTTGCTGAGAAAGAAAATGAACAAAAAAATAATTTTCTTGCTTTTTTTACTTTTCAGGTGCCTAGCGTGTATAGAAATTAGTAGTATGTCATGATTCTAGAAACCAAAATATTACACCATTAATAATGTAAACGGACTGAAAATAAAATGACAAAAAGTAAAATGTAAGTTAAAAAAAAAGGCATTTAAATTTTGGCTAAGCCGACATGAACCGAGCTATGTATGGTTTTTAGACCACCGTGTAAGCGATTCACTCTTTCTTTTTTTAATTATTATCTGGCTTATTAATATATTTTCGTGCTGAAAAAAGACGGTAGAAAAACATGTCAAAAAGAAAAAATAAATGATGAAATTTGAATAGGGTGAAATTTTGATTTTTGTGATCAGAGTTTGAAAAAGAGATATAATTTTCTTAAAATGATATTACTAATAAATTACTATGAAAATTATTGACTTTTTAAAGTATCAAGTTGATGAAAACGATCAAAAATAATTTTTACTTTTTTTTTGAACGTTTTTTAATAATTTTTACTTTTGGTTACCTTTTAAATAAAATACTTTAAAGCATCATAAAAAATCTTTTTAAAAATAGTGTTCAACAACAACAAAACCTCATCTAACCAAAAAATATATTTTTTCTGTAAAACCTTATATTATTTTTCATTTTTTCAAAACTCATATAGCTTTGACAATGCTTCCAATGTAAAAACAAAATTTAGATTACCAAAAAAAATGTAAAAACAAAATTTAACGAAGACAGAAAAAAAAAACAAAATTGACGTTGAATTTAAATAAAAAGTAATAAAAAATGAAGAAAACAAAGAGATGGTTTTAAAGGCGGGACCGGTCCGTCATCAATGCAACCTCCCAACGCTTCTTTCTCTTTCAGCTACTTGCAACAAAATTGCAAAAAAAAAAAAAAAGTGTCGATAGAAACTTCTCTCTCTCTATCTCATCTCTCTCTCTATTTCTTGGTTGACAAAGAAAAATAGGTAACCGAAAATTTTAGTTGCTTTCTCATTTGCTTCTTGCTCTGTTTTTTTTTTTGTTTGTTTAATATTATAATTTTATCCACACCAAACAAAAAAAAAGAACCATTGCATAATCTCTTTATCCTCACAGTTTGATCTGTTTCTTCTTCAATTTCCAAATTTCCATTGATATAAAGTTTATACCTTTTTGATCTATATTCTGTAATACAGAAAAGGGTTTTGTTTGATTCTTCTCAAAATCATGGGGATTTGCTTGAGTGCTCAGATTAAAGCCGAGAGTCCAAGTAACACAGGTACTTACTTACTTCAAGCTTTCATTGTTTTCCTCAAATGATTCCAACACTACTCATGCAAATGTTGATTTGAATACCAAAAAAAATTAATTTTTGAGGTTTTGAAAAGGTGTTTTAATTGAGTCGGCAATAAAGTAAGGTCTAAAAGATCAGATTTTGTTATTAATTTTCTTTTGTTCAATTCGAGGTTAGGTTTTTTGGTGGTTGAGGCCATAAGGGGGACTTAACTTAAAAGTTAGGCTTAATGTTTTGACAAATCTGTCTTTTCTAACGCTAATAATTGATTAGTTTCCTAGAACTCTGTCTCTTTGAGTGTTTGGTTAGCTCACGGCTCGTCATAGCCAGAGAGAAAAAGACAAGAACGAAAATGCAGAGTTGGTTTTGAGATTTGTCTGATCTCTGACAACAAAACAACACTTTTAGTTCAAGAGAAATGGGTATTTTCAAAAAGGTGAAATCTAAAGTTTTTTTGTACACAAACTATCTGTTTGGTGTTTGCATAGGTGTGAGTCCAAAGTATATGAGCTCAGAGGCAAATGATACACAAAGCAGCATGGGAAGCAAAAGCTCTTCTGTGTCTATCAGAACAAGCCTTCGAACAGAAGGAGAGATCTTGCAATCACCAAACCTCAAAAGCTTCAGCTTTGCTGAGCTCAGAACAGCAACTAGGAATTTCAGACCAGATAGTGTTCTTGGTGAAGGTGGATTCGGTTGTGTCTTTAAAGGATGGATTGATGAGCAATCTCTCACTGCTTCTAAACCGGGAACCGGTATGGTTATTGCTGTCAAAAAGCTTAACCAAGATGGTTGGCAAGGTCATCAAGAATGGCTGGTAACTTTCTTTCAGTTCGATCTTTTTTTTTATAAACTTTGACAAAGATTTGTTTTGTTTTATGTTTCTTTGATTGATGTATTGTTCTTGTAGGCAGAAGTGAATTACTTGGGGCAATTCTCGCATCCTCATCTTGTGAAACTCATCGGTTATTGCTTAGAGGATGAACATCGTCTTCTTGTCTATGAGTTCATGCCTCGAGGCAGCTTAGAGAATCATTTATTCAGAAGTATTGCTCTCTCCCTCTCTCTCTCTCTCTCCCTCTTGTCCCATCCTCAAGACTGTTTCATTCGAAACGTTTTTTAAGTTACTCAATCTTGTTTCTTGCGGTTTCTTGCGGTTACAGGAGGTTCTTACTTCCAACCATTATCTTGGACTCTCCGGTTAAAAGTTGCTCTTGGTGCTGCAAAAGGTCTAGCCTTTCTTCACAGCGCAGAGACACAAGTCATATACCGCGACTTCAAAACTTCTAATATACTTATTGATTCGGTAATTTTCGTTTTCTCCATCAATGATATGATGAAAGTTTAGGGCTTTGTATTAATGACATGATCATCACAGGACTACAATGCCAAGCTTTCTGATTTCGGATTGGCTAAAGACGGACCAACGGGTGATAAAAGCCATGTCTCTACACGGATCATGGGTACTTACGGATACGCAGCTCCTGAGTATCTTGCGACTGGTTAGTCTCAAAAAGTCTTTTTCTTTTTCTGTGGTTTGATAACTTTCTTTCTCATGATCACTGACTCTTCTTTTAACTTTCCTTTAGGTCATTTAACAACCAAGAGTGATGTCTATAGCTACGGTGTCGTGCTTTTAGAGATGTTGTCTGGTCGGAGAGTTGTGGACAAGAACCGTCCACCTGGAGAGCAGAAGCTGGTTGAATGGGCAAGACCGTTTCTTGCGAACAAACGAAAGATATTCCGAGTTATCGATAACCGTATCCAAGATCAGTACTCAATGGAAGAAGCATGTAAGATAGCTACTCTGGCTCTGAGATGTCTCACACTAGAGATAAAGCTGAGGCCAAACATGACAGAGGTTGTTTGTCACCTCGAACACATCCAAGCTCTGCATGAAGCTGGTGGAAGAAACATCGATAAGAACGAGAGGAGAACGCGTAGGAGAAGCGATAGCCTTGTGGTCAGCCAAAAGCCAAACGCAGGTTTTGCTCGGCAAACCGCCGTGAACGCTGTAGCAGCTGCTTATCCACGCCCTTCTGCTTTGCCTCTGTTTGTGTGAGAAAGAAACGATTGATGCTCTGTTTTAGTTCGGTTGTACAGTTTTGCTTCTGCTTATGTACCGAAAGGATTCAGTTTCATCAGAAATTTGACAATTGTGATCAGAATTGACTAACTTAAGTATAAATGGATCGATCTCTCATGTCTTCATCTTCAAGCTCTGTTTCAAGTGTAAGAAACTCGAAAAGGGAACTAAAAGAGAGATGCTTTCCAAACATTTTTTTATATACAAGCAAATGCAGAACAAAAGTGTTTCAGATAGTAACAAACAAGAGACTTTTTTTTTTGCGTTACTTACTTTGGCTAAGAAGTTTATATATACAGTGAAGAAACTAATCTTTTTACCATGTTCTAACCAGACCCGGAGTCCAGTTTCGCCAGTCTAGCTTCGAAAGGGACTTGTTCAAGCTCATCTTATCCCTGAGATCAAGAACTTTCTTCAGATAATTACTCCCTTGCTTCGTCATCTCAGGCTCGCTCTCTCCATTTTCAATGATCTCCTCTGTTTCCACACCAAGCGGCGGCGGCGTAGGAGCGTTCTCCCTCTCTTCCTCGATGATGCTTCCGAGAAGTGAAACCACTTCGCTCATTCTAGGCCGAGACTTTGGTTGCTTCAATAGACATTTGTTTGCTAAAGCAGCTACTCTCTGAACAGACTTCACACAGTAGTACTCCTCTTGGAGCCGTGGATCCACGATCAAATGGAACTTCTTCGAGTCTGATACATAAGGTTTCACCCATTCGAGAAGCTTCTGCTCCCCTCGAGGTAGGTTTCTGTCGAGTGCTCGTCTTCCTGTGATCAGTTCATACAACACTACACCGAAGCTCCAAACATCGCTCTTCGCTGTCAGTTTCCCTGTTTGTACATACTCAGGAGCCGCATAACCAACCGTACCTACAACCTTTTATACAATACAAAGGTTTTTAAGACTTCAAGAGATGTTGTTGTTATGTTAAAGAGAGAGAGAGAGGATTACATACTGAAGTTGAGACATGACCAAGTCCTTCAGGAGGTCCTTGCCTAGCTAATCCGAAATCCGAGAGCTTAGCACCGAATCTCTCATCAAGCAAGATGTTTGAAGACTTGAAGTCCCGGAAAATCAACTATAAGATAGCAAAATCAAAACCAAAACCTAATGGGGAGGGAAAAATGAAAAAGTTTTAGACTTGTAAAGAGGGCTTAACCTGAAAATCCATTTCTTCATGAAGATAAGCCAAGCCTTGAGCAGCGTCTTGAGCAATCTTCAACCTCGTTATCCATGGAAGAGATACAGAAACTACTCTGCCTACAAGATGATCCTCTAAGCTTTTATTGCACATAAGCTCATAAACCAGAAGACGCTGCATCCCTCTCTCGTCGTCATCAGCGCAATAACCAACAAGCTTCACAAGATTCGGATGATTCACTACTCCTAGAAAATTCACCTCATTGATCCATTCTTTATGCCCCTGAATGCTAGAACGCAAAGCCACACCAACAACGATTTACCACAAGAACCGAAAATCAGTCACAAACCAGAACGTTTCTTCAATTCCCAAATTGGAAACATTTTACGAGAGACTAATGAAGCAGAAGAGAGTTTTAGAAAAGGATGGAGTCATGCCTGTGAACCTTGACGATTAAGCTGTTTCACGGCGACATCAATCTTAGAGTCGAAACCATCGACGACGCCTCTATAAACGCAACCGAAGCCTCCTTCGCCGATCAGAAGAGCTCTATTGAAGCCTTTCGTAGCTAATTTCAGCTCACCGAAGGTGAATACCTTTAGATCGTTCTCTGCGGCGACTCCACCGATCCAACGTTGACTCAGTGGCTTAGGGTAACCAAAGCGCTCCGGGGAGAAACTCCAATCCGAGTCAAACTCGGACCGGCGAGTCGGGTCGGAAGCCGTCGACGACGCAACGCTTAAGGACCGAGCCCAGGAGATCCTCGAAGCTCGCGAGACGACGCTGGTTTCTCCTTCATCTCCTTCTCCTCTCTTCTCGCCATTGGTGAAGTGAAAGCACTTCATCTTCGTCTTCTTCTTCCCTCAAAAATCCGACTGAGTCAACAAAAAATAAGTTTTTGGAGCCTTTTTCTTAACTTTTTGAGTATGGGTAATGATCTGATGTGACAGATTTACTTCTACTCGATGATGACGTGGCGAGTTAAGAACCGTTTGATTTTTCAAGATCTAAGAGCAGCCACAATAGAGGATTTTGAGAGAGTTCTTAATTAAAAAAGAAAAGAAAAAAAGAAAATGAAAATGAGGTGGCAAGTTTTTTCTGTAAATCGACTCTCTGCACAGAGTTGCAGGAGGCGATTCTTTACATTTTTCTGACACATGTCATCACATAAATGGTCTCCTTTATTTATTTATTTATTCTTTTTTTTAAAAAAAATTAAGTAATAAAATATTTAAAGGAGTCTCATGTGAGACTCTCCATTGTGGTTGCCCTAACGTTCCTCTAGCTGACCTAACTTGCGACCAAATATCAGTATAGTGAAAATAGTAATAGTTTGGTCAAAACGAGTAATATAGCCAAATAAATTGAATCTATTTAAAAGATAGGGATGATTATTCTTTGATTATTACGTGAAGCAGCCAGATTTTGAACTATAGTCTCGAGGATTGACTAGTTTTGTATAATTGTATTTGTCGTTATCAATCTATACTGTTGTTGTTTGTTGAACAGTCGATCTATTTTTCGTTTTTTTCTTTACCTAACTCTCATATTAACCAGTTTCAATACTGAAACTAAGAAAGTGATTGGGTAAAGTCATAATCCGAGAACGTTGACAAGGTAGGCAGCGATTAAACATGGGCTTTTGATGGGCTTTGCTTTTGGATTTTATTAATCAGGCTCAACAAAAATGGGCTTTGCTTTTGGATTTTATGAATTAGGTTTAACAAAAATGCAAGAAACAAAAAAAAAGAGCCAAAACACATAGACGAATTTCTTTATAAATAGATACCGTTTTGTATTATTTTTAATTCGATTATTATTTAATGCTTTCTTGATATGTTATGTCTAAAGATAAATTTTATAAGTGACAAGTAGAATGATGATTTAAATGTTCAAAACATTTTAGATTTCTATTGATCTCAAATTATGCTCATTTTGCAACTTGCAAGTTTATTAAACCACAAATAAAAACCTAAATTCAAATTTGTTGTTGTTATTATACTACCATTTATTTCGAAAAGTTAAATGTAAGAAATCATAAATAGAATAGGGAGGGAACAAAAAGAACCCACCACCCATGTGCGAATCTCATCTTCTTTCTTCTCGTTAAGTACCCAATGGACCTTCTTCCTTGATGTGACTCTCTTTTCTTCTTTCCGATTCTACCCTTTTCTTTTCTACTTCCTCCATTTAAAACTAACATGAAAATGGCTTGATTATTTATCTCATATATATTTTATAAATACACGCCAAAGCTATACAATATAAGCAATTTTATATTGGATGGTATGGGTTTGGCTGAGGGAATAAGGCAGCATTAAATACTTTTCGTAATTATCTCATTGCTTGCGTACAAAATTTCAGTATCATATGTTTTGTTTTTAGGCTTTTAAAGGTAAATCCCATAAAATCCCAGGATTCTTATTTCATTTTTTAATATTATCCACTCACTCTTTTTCTTAGATAACTCAAATATTTATGGCCAACCAATTAATACCTTTGTCAAAATATAAATGTTAAACTGATGACAAAATAAAAATAAAAATGTTAAAACCATAATTACCCAAATTTTCATATATTACAATATAGAGGTCTACAAGAAGCAGTACAAACAACTATTACTACTTTACTATAACCAGACTAAACCAGCTGATAGCAGAACACTTTGCATCTGCTTCAGCTTTTTACTACTTTCAACAAACTTCTAATTTTACCCCAAAAGAAAACTCATCAAACATTTAAGACCCCACACGCTAAAAAAGCACCATGGACCAATTTAGCCACTGTTCACTTTCACACTCTCCAACGAACACAACAGCTAAAAAAACCGATTAGAGGTAGAAAATTGGAAACATGAAAAATAATAATAATATTTTATATATATAATTTCTCAAATTACTCTGATTGCCTTCGGCTTGGAAATTTGATACTAGTAATAATAATAATAGAAAATACTACTAAAATGGTTTTTTGATAGGTTATTTCCCGAAATTGCCCTTAGACTCTGAAGTTCTTTCCCATGAAAGTCTGACCAAACTGCCAATTAGCCGGAGCGATGTTCCATGACGTGGAGGTTCTTCGGTCACTGCCTGTGACTCTAAACGAAAGTGACTGCCCAACCAAAACAGAGTTCGATTGCCAGTTTTGCCCCCAGTTACGGCTCATGCTCATCCACGAAGTTCTTGTTCCTTTCACGCTCAGCCGCACGATGTTTCCGGCTCCGGCGACGTTTGTGACCAGAACCAAGTTGAAGTAACGGAACCCGTTGATCGTGAATCTCATTCCTCCTCTCTTCCGGCATGGCACTCTGTAGTAATTTAACAGAGCAAGACAAGGGTAGTTACGTCCTTTAATGTTTTTCAAAAAAATAAATAAGTATGAGAAAACGCGTGTTGACTAAAAAAACCACCACATTCATTATTGTTACACCATGACTTTTGTTATTAGTACCAAAAAGTAAAAAAGAGATTGTTGGAAGGACAGTTTCGTCCTTTTGCAGAAAAATAAGATCTTTAAGATCTTTACGAAACCCGACATAAATGCTACACCGACTCGCGCCAAGAATCCAAACATAAGACCTTTCAAACGCAGCCCTACATTTCTATATTGTTAAATTAAATACCCCAAACTTTTAATTTGGACATTATCCCCACTCGTTCAGAATCCAGACTAAAGACTTTTCAATCGAACCCCAACCTTTCTAACAATGTAAAATTAACACCTATAACTTTTAATATACAGACACTAACCCCTGTATCTGTATAAGAATTTAGATTCTACCGAACCCCAATGTTTCAAAAATGCGAAGTCTAACCTTAACCTTTTAACCTTAAGACTTCTCATCTGCACCCTGATACTTCTAAAATGTTACATTTCACACACCAAAAGTTTTTGACTCTGCCCAAATTAACCCTAATTTGTCTTAATTCAAGCAAAAGCCTTTCAGAGTTTCTAAACTAGCCAAAAAAAAAGACTTGAACGATAGACGATTCCATGTGAACAATAAATTTATTTCCGGTGATGATAGCGAGTTCTTACCGGCGGAAAGAGACGGGGACAATTCCGGCGCGATACTCAGCGATCTTGAGGAACATAGGCATAGCGAGATCGAAGTGAGGCCTAGGAGGGTTGCACCATCCGCCATTGTCACTAGGCTGAGCGAAGTTCGGAGGGCAGAAGTTGGTCGCAGTGACGAAGATGGAAGGGCTACCCGAGTGGCACCACTTGGGATCGCTCGCGCATTTGAGCTCGAAACAAGCGCCGCAACTGAAACCGTTGTTGAACAGAGCCGTGCTTAGAGCCGCCGTGTTCACACCGTAGCCTTGGCTGTACAAGTTACCATAACCACAAGCTCCTCCTGGTTTAGATTAAAACAGAGCAAAATTGAAGTTGAAACCTTTGAGGGTAGAAATCAAGAGTATGCAAAAATCACAAGATTTTAAGATTTATGGAAACGTTAATTTGACAATGTAGTAGTTTAATTAGCAAAGATGAACACAAATAAGGAAAGTTTAAGTTGGGTTTGTATTAAAGTTGAAACCTTTGTGTGTAAATTTAGCACTAAACTATCAAGAAGCTGATATCTCAAGATTTCAACAATGTGGTACCAAAAAGCTGGGAACTTTAGGTTTAAATTGATGAGAAAATATGTGAAATGAAAATGTAAAATCATAAAAACATACCCATGGTGCCAGAAGCATCAGAGCCACCATAGAAAGTAGCATGAGCAGTTTCCCAACCACCTCCATTGTAAACTCCTGGGATTCTTGCTTCAGAAATTGTTGTGAAATCCGCAAGAATCGTAAGAACGCATAAAACCAAACCCAACATTGCCATTTAGAGAGAGGAAGAGACTGAGAAAACAGAGAGAGATTTGGGGGAGAAGGAGGCAGAGGAAGAAGATGAAGAAGAAGACTATTGGAGTGTTTTCATGTGGTGTAGGGAAGGGAAATGGAGGTGTATATATATAAATTACATTAAGCATTTAATAAAAATGTTTATTTTCTTGACTCGCAATATTCTCTATCTTTATCGTTTCAAGAGTTTTACTTTAATTACATAAATTTTCATGCTTTTTTTTCCTCCTTTTCTTTTATTTTTAAACTTTTGTAAAAATTCTCTAAACATGATTTGGACTTTAGACAAAGAAAAAGGAAATGCGATTAAAGATTTTGTTGAAAGCGTAGAATATTGACATACAGTTCTATGTACAAAAGTCATGCGTACAATACAAATCCAATTATTAAATGTATGTTTGGGTCTTGCCCTTCCCTCTATGTGTATCAGAAAATGTCTATTGGCAATATCACGCGCATGTAAGAGCGCGTGCCTCACATTACCCAATCATCATTAGTCTTGTACGGATAAAGGCGTGGTTACTCCACTCAGATTTGATAAAGGTAATTTCACGCTCCCTTTAAGCGCGTTGGGGTGACCACTCTCTTGTTGCTATCAATAATTTTCGCCCTTTAAAATTGCTATGGACCTATATATATGATAACTATTGATATGTAAATGTAAATATATTGAATTTTGGGACTTTTCTTTCACTACAATTTTAAATTGGACGATGGCTATATATTTGTTTGTTCTTTAACAGTTAGAGATAGTAAAAGTGTATAAGTTTAGTATGTAATATCAATAGTAAGTTTAGTATGTAATATCAATAGTAATATACAAACATAAACGAATATACATTATTCTTTTGCCAAATTATTTAAATCGTATATAAGTGGAAATTTGGACATAAAACACACAAACAAAGAGAAAAAGTTGGACATGAATTTGATTTAGAGCTAAACTGCATTTTTAAACACTTTAACCACTAGATTATAAATAAAATAAAACATTTTTTTTTTGTTTTGCTTTGTGTTACCTTATAATTTGATTTTTTTTCTTGTAGCTATAATGCTGAATTGCTGATGATGGTATTACGTAATTATGATGATATGTTTTATAATGTTCACAGAATGAATATGAGATACGAGTTTTCTAAAGGATGCACTGATAAATAATCACAGAAAAATCTCACTAACTTTTCAAATAAAAAATATACATTATCATAATGAAGTTGTTATAATATCTTTAATTAAAACCAAAGAAAAAATTATTGTATTAGTATCACACCTAATACCTTTCTTAAGCATAATTTCCCCTTTGTTGCAAGACACATGATTGGTCCGTAGGTAACGGACATAAGCAAATCAAGAGTATTTATGTTACTTGGAAGCTAAAGAAAACTCAATTACACATATTAGACTTCATGAAGGAAAGTTTGTTATTAACCCCTAAAAAAAATTAACACAAAAATACCATTGCGATTGAATAGTTTAACTTTCTTTTTTTTTTATCGTAAGAATCAAGGAAATTTCAAGCTTTTCACCCATAATTGTTTTAAGGTTGGATAAAAACTTGTAATACATGTAAGAAAAAGTAAACCATCTCTTCCCGCAAACTCGCAAAGAGATGAAATACACAGATCTTCAAAAACACATAAATTAAGAATCATACCATGTAGTAGGTGTGTTGGTTTGGTTACTTCAATATACAAGTTTCTCTATGGTTCGGGTTACTTATAAAATATGGTTTGATGTTGGATTCATAAGTTTTGATATCCCTTTGATTCAGTTCACTTAGTGTTTATGTTCATACCTAGATTGGATACAAAAAGTTACTGCGGATGTCCAAACTAACAACAGGTTGAAGAGTTGAATGCTAAATCTCTGAAGGAATCTTATAATTGAAGGACAAAATAGAAAAAAATGATTTACTATTCTCTTAAATATGTTTGTAATTGTCACATGATATACGTTCAATTAAGACATGTGTGGTTTGGTATAAGTAGGACTCTACGTACCAATCTAGAAAGACTAGAATTGAAATGTTTGATACAAATAGATGACTAACGAAAGGAGATAACCTAAAAATATGCAAACATTGTCACATTATATCATCGTATAAAGAAAAAAAACAAAGCCATATTTGACGAATTTAGCCTCGAGCGAGTGAGTAAGAAGTGTTTTTGTTTTGTGTTTTGAAATGCATGATTGAAGAAGGCTGGGATTGGAAGATGAGTGATGACTAACATGGGTGGGACCATCACATGGAATCCTATCAAGTGTACTTGTCCGACGTAGAAACTGTGGGACCCATTTGATTACCCGTAATCGTCGGAGCATGTAAACCGGCGATTCTGTTAAGCTGCAATTATCACTAACAAGCTCACACCTAAAAACAAAACTAATGTCATATAGTTTAATGTTTCTTGTATAATAAGAAGACAAATTGAGCAAAAGATAAATTCTCGAGCCGCACGCGCCCAAACAATTAGCAATATCTATGTCTCGTGGCTCTTTTATTTTCTTTGAGACTAAAAGCAAAAATGCTTATAAACTTCTAAAAATGCTTGCTCAACATGTTGTGGACCCTAGTGTAGTTTTAGTGATAGTACGAAGAAACACTATAATTTAGAACATATCACTCAATTCTATCGGAAAAAACCACTTTAGACTATTATCAAAACAACTTATAATTCCTAAATTATGATAATTATGGGTTTAATTGGTATATCAACTTAATATCTGAATAGTAGAATAACTGAATAACAAACTAATAAAATTAATATGATGGGTAAACTAAAAGTTGAATAAATTCAAAACGTTAAAAAATTAGTATCTATTAAATGAATATTTTTTTCTTTAAATTAGTTGTAAATTGAAACATGCGGAATGAATTGAAAAATAGCGTGTTAATTTTTTTTTTATCGTCCAATACTTAATATTATATATAATATATATTTAGTAAAATCATGCGAATCAAAACATGAAAACATGAAAAAACTATATACCATTTGAGTAATATTATATCACTTTAACGTTTGAGTAAGACGATTTTGTTATTAAACTGATTTAAGTGTTTTTATAAGACACTTAATCTAGGCGGCTCAAGAACCAGATAGATTTATAGTGACCTTGTGATTCTGTGAACAGAGGCCCATGCCACTCTTCAAGACTTCCTGCCTCCCATGGCCATGTGAAATCTCCACAACCCTTAAATCCTAAGTCTTACAAATTTATAAAAGTCACGACGTGGACCAATGATGTGCAGCCAGGTGTACAACAGTGAAAAATTCTTCCTTGAGGTTTACGAATCCAATGCGGTAGATTAGACATCAATGATTATGTTTTTTGTTTTTTTGCTATATAGCACGTGGAGGAGTGATGTAATTACGTTGAGGATTCACTAATTATAATTTTATTAGGTAATTACCGTGTTACGCTGCGGGATATTATTTTAAATTTTCTTTATTTTAAATATAAAAAATTAATAATATAAATAAATATTATATTTATTTTGTATTTAGCATAATTTTTATATTTGTGCCTTGATTGTTTCTCCATCTAGATGGTTCAGTTGAATAAAAATGAGAATTTTTTTAGTTTTATAACAAAATCGAAAAACATTCAGATGATGTATCTGGATGATTTTTCAAAATTTAAATATATTTATGAGAATTATTTAGAGACAAAATTATTTCGGATGATTTTTTAAAATTTAAACAAATTTATAAACAAAATTAGACTATTTGGATGGAGATGTTTCATTCTAAAATAACAAATGACTAAAAAATTATTAAACTTCAAAAAACAAAAAAACCTAAAACCCCATTAAATCATATTTTTTTGACAAAATCAAAAAAATAACAAAATTACATATTTCAACAAAACCATAAATTTTTTTTTTAACAAAACTTAAAATCACATTTTCCGGTAATATCAAGAAATCATGTTTTCCAACCAAAACGAAGGAATTGAATTTTCCCACTAAAATTGAAAAATCATGTTATCCCGCTGAAATCATCAAACTGCATTTTCCCGCCAAATCCGAGAAATTTCAATTTTGTGCCAAAATCGAGAAATTGTATTTTTCCTGCTGAAACTGAGAAATTGTATTTTTCCGTCAAAAATAGAGAAATCGCATTATCCTGCCAAAACTAAAAAAATGTATTTTCCTTCCCAAATCTAGAAATGTCATTTTCATGTCAAACCGAAAAATCACGTTTTCTCGACAAAATCGTCAAATTATATTTTTTCGCAAAAACTATAAAATTGTGTTTCCCACAAAAATCGAGAAATCACATTATCTATCAAAAACCAGAAATAACATTTTCTCACCAAAGCCGAGAAATTGCATTTTCACGTCAAAACTAAGAAATTTTATTTTTCCAACGTAACCGAGAAATTTTGTTTTCATGTCAAAACTGAAAAATCACGTTTTTCCCAACGAAATCATCTAATTGCATTTTCCTGCCAAAAACTTTGAAATTACGTTTTTCCGCCAAAACCGAGGAATTACATTTTTGTGCCAAAAATAGAGAAACTGCATTTTCCCCGTCAAAAATTAAAACGCATTATCCCGCCAAAATCAAAAAATTGTATTTTCCCGTCTAAGCCGAGAAATGTCATTATTCCATCAAACCAAGAAATTTTGTTTTCCTGCCAAAACCGTCAAATTGCATTTTTCCGCCAAAACCAAGAAGTTATGTTTCCCACAAAAATAGAGAAATCATATTATCCTTCAAAGCGAGAAATTACATTTCTCATCAAAATTGAAAAATCGCATTTTCCCGTCAAAACCTAGAAATTTTGTTTTTTCATCATAGCTGAGAAATTTTGTCTTTTCTTCAAAACGAGAATTATCGTTGTCCCGCCAAAATAGAGATTACCTTTTCCCGTTAAACTAACAACTTTTATTTTCCCACCAAAACCGGAAAATCGTATTTTTTGTCAAAACCGAGAATTTTGTTTTCCCAAAAAAATTCATCTTCCGGTCAATACCAATAAATTTTATTTTCTCGCAAAAAAATCATATTATTCCGTCAAAACCAAGAAATGTTGTTTTCGTGTCAAACATAATTACAAAACTATGAAGTAATTTAGTATTATTTATTTGTGTTACTAAGAACATCTCCAGCGGTTAACAACC